TAATTGTTCAGACTAGTTTTGTATTTAAGACGGAATTCGTCTTATTTTATTGATTCAACTTCTAGCCGAATTGGCTCCGTCTTCCACAAAAGCCTTATCATCCCGACTGGACTGAGTATTCAAGCTCGTCTGTTCATCTCATCCGCAACCGGCCATCGGTTTTACGATATATTTTCAGCTTAAACAGACATTGGCTATTTCCAGACACTACTCATTTCTTATTTTTCGCTTTTAAGTAGGGCGTCAAGACTACCAGTAAATAAGTTATACAAGATGTATTTATCCTAATTCACTGGTAGCTGAATTTTTCCGCAATCATATGAATTTCACATGATCTTGTTTTCCCAAAAGGTGTTTTAATCCAAGGTGAAGTGGACTGCAGTTGTGACCTCATCTAGATCTTGACAACACCTTCAACGGGACTCGAACCAGGACAATGCAACGTATAATCTCGACACCTTGCCACGGATGCTCTTGGGTCAGAGGGCAGCTGTGAATTTCAAGGAATGCCAAGTATTCTTTGGTGGGATGGTCTATGAGGCAAAGATGTATTTTCTATGAAAATCGACTAATTTGCTTATTTACCGTTTATTTATGACTTTATTATAATAATAACTTTTGTAATTACTCTCTAATATAACTTATCTTCATCTAAAATCACGCCAAAAATCTGATATGTAGAAACGTCTGATTTGCCTTGAAACTCACATATGCTCTGTAACCCAAGGGCATTCGTGGCAATGTGGTGTAGTGGTTAACTTGTCGAGATAATAGGCTGTAGTGTCATGGTTCGAGTCCCGCTGAAGCTGTTGATAAGACCTAGGCGAAGTCGAAATTGGACAAGCAAGGCTTCGTGAGGACATAATGAAAGTATCAACTCTGCTCCTATGATTATGGGAAAATTCAACTACCAGTCCTACATTACCTTAAACGAAATAGTGTGAATACGTCCCATACTACTCATTCCATCGGAAATGGTGTCGTTACTATTGCTGGCAAATGCACTTTTTCGTTTCTAAGTAGAGTTTCGAGACTACCAGTAGATCTTCTCATATTACGGATCTACTGGTAGACTCGAAAATCTACTTACATACGAAAAATAAGCAGCGTTTTTGAAGGTTATAGCAAAAATACGTTTGTTTCATGGAAAAATCTTCCCGGAAATTCACATCTGCCCTGTGAACCAAGGTCACACATCAGCTCTACTCATATGATTGTGGTAAAATTCTACCAATAGTCCTTCATCGCCTTAAACTAAATCGGTTGAATACATCACAAATGCACTTTTGCCAGATCGGCTTCATTCCCCACACGAAGTGTGAAATGCAAGAAGCCCGGCCTGTATTGTCAAGTCTTGTCCTACCTGTGATCCCAGTTCGAATCCCTTTGGCGTTCGCTGACGTCACAAAAGCAGAAGCAGACAATCGAATGCACGTGTCTTCTTCACCTTTCATCGTGGCCAATTATCGGCATCGAAAGAGTTGATGTTTCGGATGATACTTTTCTCCTTGAAGGGTGTGCAAGTATGGCGGATGCCTCGAGAATTGGTACCTGAACTGCTTTGATCTTCAACCAGGATTCAGCCGGATGCTGCATGATGCCGAGTAGGTGCAAATGAGCGTCTGCCCTTTAGCTCGTCCAGCATCACTTTTGTGGGAAGCTGTTTTCTGTGTCCAATTAGAATGTCCTCCTCTAAAGTGGTCTACACTTTCGCGCAATTAAGGTTTTACTTGGAGGTCCTGTTCTCCCTGTTCGGTCGGATTTTAGTGCATCGGTCTTCATTTTCGCCGAATTGAATAAGCTTGGCCGAGTTGTGTGAATTGAAATCCAGCCCTCGAAGACTGGGCCAAGTCGTAAACAGCTCTTCGCCAGTTGCCACCCCACTGTACCTCTGGCGTGTCGCCACCCTCCGCTCGACCGTACACACACAGACGAAGCGAGGCTGGCAAGAATACAGCTTGGTTCGTCCTTGTTTCTGGGGCTGGTGAAAAAAGCAATCCGATGCCCGGCGGCTGGCAATAGGGCCTAGAGACTATGCGATCTGGTGGCACAAGCTTGACCGTTGAACGGGATCCAAATCGCTCTTGATACAGTTTTTTAGCAGAATTCAAGCACAACCGACCGATTGCGAGATTATATTCTGATGGAATTAATGAAGAAATATAGGAAAGCAGAAAAAATACGTTTAGATAAGTTTGAAGGACACTACAGAATTTTGGGCAACTGAGATAGAACACAAGGAGAACTGAAAGCTATAGTCGCAAAGTTATTGTATAAAAACTCTATTGTACCTCCGCCAAATCAGTCATAAATCGTGACACTTGTATTATTGTGACTCGAATTTTCCGTTTCAATAAAATGTTGGCCTCAAAGATTTGATGAGAAACTTTTGCTTTTAGTCAGTCGCCCGAGTTACAACAGTTGAGCTGGCTTTCATTTTGAGAAATATTTTACGATGAAAACATTCGAAGTTGACCACATCAGAAGCGGAAACGGCAGATTCCATTTGGCCAGAAATCGGTTGGCCTTACTGAGACAATCTTCTTGTTTCCTTCGTTTCGGATGACGACGCGCAACGCCTTCGTCTCTCTTATGACGGAAATCATAACGAGGAAAGAAAACTCACCCAAATATCCCAAAATAATGTAATGATGAATCGGACTGATAGATGAATTTTCAGATAATCACAAATGTTTTCATTTCCTTTCATCTAGCTTTGCTTCCAAAAAGATATTTTAATACCGACTAAGGCGGGCTGCCGTTTCCACCTCATCTTAGCCTCATCATTACCCAAAGCGGGACTCGAACCCGGGTACCGCTGGTGCAGCATATAGTGTCGACACATTCGCCACTACACCAGACTGCCACGAGTGCTCTCGGTTGACAGGGCAGATATTAACTTCAAGGAATACCAGATCTTCCGCAGATCACCTTCTGTGGTGGGGTTGTCTATGGTGCAAAGTTGAATTTGCTACAACAATCAACTACACTACTTATTTATCGTAGGCTTCTCAAACTACCGGAAGATCTGATATAAGAGTTGCATTCACCCTATTTCATTTTTGAGGTGATTACGGAATGGTTGTTTACTTTTCCCACAATCATATGACCAGGCCTTACACTTTCACTGAATTGTATACAGTCTTGCCTTCCAAAAGGTGTTCTCATCCCGGCCTGAACCGGCCTTATCAACAGCCCCACCAGGATTCGAACCGGGATAGTGCCACATGTGATGTGATATGGTATAACGTCCGACCTTGTGTGAAATTAACATGTGAATTGTGACTCAAGAACACTCGTGGCAATGTGGCGTAATGGTTAACGTGTTCAAAGTTTACACTGGGCTTCCCGAGTTCGAGTCCCGCTGGGGTTGCCGATGCTACAGACTCAGGCGAGGTCGAAATTGTGGTCGACTTCTTTCTGGAAGAGAATACTTTTTGAGAAACAAGTCTGTGTGAAATTTAATGCAAATGTGAGGTTCACTCATGTATGATTGTGGAAAAGTTGAGCCACCAGTCCTTCATCACCTTGAAAACGGACTAGGGTGAATGCAGCTATTGTATCCGATCTACTTATGAAATAAGAATAAGTCAAGTAATAGATTTATTCAAGGTGTTTTCCGGCATTGCACAATCGGAATTATTGCGGTTAAACTGAAAAAAATAGAGGATGGGTCTCAATAACTTTTAGGACCGACAACAGATGTTCAGCTTTCGGTGTAGGCTTATCGAGACGACAAGTAGATCTGACATATTTAATTGTTAAGGTGATGAAATATGGGGATCGAATTTTCCCATTACAATTGCACTAAATTTCACAGCTTTGATGGCTAAAAGGTATTCTTATCTTCGCTGGAGAGGATGGCAGTTTCCACCTCACCTGAACCAGCCTAGTCAGCACCCAAAGTGGGACTCGAACCCGGGTTCTGGTAATTCAGCATTTTGTGCCTACACGTGAACCAATACATCGAACTGTCAAAAGCTAAATTTGCTATAGCAATCA